CAGTGCCTCGATGTTCGATTCAGGCATCAAGGCTCGGTCAAGAACATTTACATAATTCGGTAGCTTCAAAACATTAATTCTGTCCAGTATTGCAACATTAAGGCCGCCTTCAAACTTTCTGGCCTTCTTATAATCAGTGTCCACCATGTGTGGTGCATATCTAGCAAGCACGGTGAACTTTGTTTCATATTCAGCAACGGACATTGTGCCCTATCTCAACTGTTCAAATTCAGTTACTTTTCTGTCCCTGACACACTGAGGGAAGTACTTTTCAAAGAAGGCTCCTTTGAATTAAGCCCAAGTCATTACAGTATTATCATCGCGGATAAGAATCCACCACCTTCTAGCCTCTTCTTGCAAGGTAAAGGTAGCTAACAGTACTTTATGTGCTTCAGAGCACGGAAACACTTCAAATAACTTTTCTGTCTCAAGGACCCATGCTTCAGCTTTTAACGGTTCCAAGCCTCCCTGAAAGGATGGCGGTTTCATCTTATTGAACTTATGTGTCAGTGCATTTATATCATCATTAACAAGTGGCTCTGGCTGTACTGGAGGAGGTAGGGGCTGTGGGTTCTATTGTTGCCCTAATCTCTTAGTTATGAGTTCCATCATTCTCTCCAGTCTTGCCATTCTTGCCTTAGAGGATGAGGATTCAGATTCATTTGCAGTTCTTGTATTATCTATTTCACTATAAGCAGTTATAGCAATTATAAACATAAGCAGTTGCATACTTAAACAGTTTATCACATTAGCATATATTCAGTCATGTCATAGTCACACACACTTTAACAAGTTCATGTAATGCCCTGATCGCTTTTCTAAGACATCCTATAGCTCATTTGGACATGTGTGTGCAGTATAACTCGTGATAAGTATCGCTCTGATACCACTCTGTCACGACCCAAACCCGCCCCTATGGGTTTAGCACCGTAACCGGCCAGTAGTCCGAGATTACCGAAGGTCTGCTTAACAGTAATACAGTAAAACAGAGTACAGGGGCCTGGCGGAAGCCAATACAGTAAATAAACAATGTCCAATGAGCTGTGACAGTCTGTATGCCAAAAAGACTTTTCATGCATACATATATATATACACACAGTGCAGAACAGTATGTACAACATTTATAATCATTCAGATCAGGGACCTAATCCCTATTAAACAGTACAGTAACAGTCTATACAGTTAACAAAACAGTTACAGAGACAGACGGGGGAAATTAAAGCACCCCTAAGCCATAGCTTGATAGGCTCAGAACCTCGCAGTGAGGCACAGTGGTTGGCTTGACAAAATTGGAGCTTACCCCGACGCTACTAGCCGCGGTCTGGTGCCTGTACACCTACATATATATATGAGCAGTGAGCTAAAGCCCAGTGAATAACATAATACGTAAAGAGGTTTAGAATGAATGCCCTTACAGTAATAAAAATAGTTCATTAAATCAGTATTTCAGTCGTTCAGTCAGTTCAGTCATACGTGGTACATCCATTAGCATAATAGTACAGTAAACAGTAGGTCTTGAAAGACTGAACAGTCAATGATGGCCATCAATCAGTAAACAGTAATGGTTTCAACAAGGGAACCGACAGAGATCTCTGTAACAGTAACAGTCAGTAACAGTAGTTGCTAAAGATGCCACAATACAGTTCAGAATAGAGGACATACATTCATTCTATTAACAGTATCAATTCAGAAACAGTACAGTTCAATTGTTCAGAAGATAATCATTTTTGAACATATCTTTACACAGTTGTTACTTACAGAGTTCTAGGCTACAGTTAGGCTAGAGCGCGTCTCCAGTCGCCAACCCTACACAGTTTACAGATTGAACACACACTAAGCTACACAGTTGGGAAAGATAATAACTTAATCCCTATCTTGACTCGGTGTGGTTCTACATCTATATCCTCATTAAGATGCCTTAAACTAGGCCTAAGAATGCTTAGGATGAAATGAGGATGCAAAGATGCACTTTAAAAGCATTTTCAGAATTTTCAAAAAATAGGGTTCCAGCTCGAGCATCGATTACTTCGCTCGAGCGGAAATGCAGACAAAGGTTTCCGCTCGAGCGCAGACTTACACGCTCGAGCATACTGCAAAACAGTCAAAAGTGCTGGATAGGTGAAAATCACGCTCGATTGGGCGCTCGACATCCGCTCGAGCGTAAGACACAAGGTCATGCTCGATCGTCAATTATCCCGCTCGAGCGGACACCAAAACAGTACAAAATACTAGGAGCACGAATTTCATGCTCAAGCGCCAGTAACTCCGCTCAAGCGTGAGTTCAAAATCTGAAATTCTCAGATTTGAACCTCAAGCTCAAATTCAACTTCAAATGTATCAAATTCGATTCCTTTGGGCCCATTTCCTGGAAAACACTTCAAAACTCACAGTTTAACATGATTCAAAGCTCAATTTGTAAAATCAAGGCCTAAAGGTGAGGGAATTAAACCCAATTGCAACCAACATTTGAAGAACATGCTTAATGTGTAACATGCATGAATTCAACAACTTCAAAGTTTCAAAAGCTAGCTCAATTGAGCCAATTCTTTCCAAAACATGATGAAATCATGGACTATTCCAATAATATGAACATGCATGTACCAAATTCCATGTAGTGACCCTCAAAATGCTAGGATGTAAGCATGCATGTATGGAATGAGCTTCAATTCAACATATAAGGACCAATTCTAGGCTTAAATCACTAGAGGCTCAAGAACCATGCAAGAATCAACTCAAATACACATAGTGGTGTAGTGGGTTAGGTTTAGTGGAGTAGGTTTAAGTGGGTGAAGTAGGTGATAGGTTTTAACAGACCATTGCCAAACACAAAGATAGACTTGTCGCTAAAGGATTCCTTCAACAATATGGTGTTGATCTTCAGGATACCTTTAGTCCTATGGCCAAACAACGTACTATTCGGATTCTCCTATGCTTGGATTTGCATCATCATTGGCCTATCAAGTAGCTCAATATCTCGAATGCCTTTTTGCATGGCAAATTAGAAGAAGTTTATATGGAGCAACCACCTGGTTTACTGCTTCTGGTCGAGTTTTGTACTCCTCAATCCTCTGTTCCAATTCTTTGGTGTGACAACATGTCTGCCCTTACTTTGGCTGCCAATCCTATTTTCCATCACCGATCCAAGCAAATCGAGGTTGGTTGTCATTTCGTTCGTGAGAAGGTTATTGCTCATAAGTTGTTACTCAAGCACGTTCCCACGACTGCTCAACTCATAGACATCTCCACCAAACCCCTGTTTACCTCCCGATTTTCTTTCTTACTTCCACGTTGAAGGTTGCTGTTTCACCTCTCAACTTGAGGGGGCCTGATAAGGAGAAGACTTCATTTGATATATCTGAGGGATCATCGTAAGTTCATGGACTGCTGTACCAGAGGGGTGTATCTGTTGTAACTAATTAGTAACTGTTTAGTTAGCTTAACTGTTAGTTGGTTAGGAGAGGATAGGGCTTGTATATATACACAATACAACAGATATATTTCTTTAATGAAATTCATTCAGCATTTGTTTCAACTTGGACGAATATATTTTTTTTTTTTTTCGATGCAAAAAAGAAAACTTTAACCGATTGTGCAACCAAATCAGTTTAAATGGGAATCTCTAGCAAAAGGAATTTATAAATTCAATGGAGTCATTTTCACAAAAGAAACAGCAGGTCTGGTGAATTTATGTCTATCCAAGGATATTTTCATAAATATCAAGGATATTTATCATTGAAATGATTCATTGTCGGTGATTAGGTGTGCTTTATGTGATTCTTAATTCAAGGTATATGCCTGTCCAAAAAAAAAAAAAAAAAAAAAAAAAAAAAAAAAAGACATAGGATAGGGGTATGTAGATGGTGAATTTGTCTCCATATGAGATTAACGAGATGATTCGCATACTCCTTTATCTGCAATAGAAACAGTGGTCAGTGATCAGCCCCGACCTAGTTAGGTCGAGAGGACCCTCCGACGATGAAGTTCCAGATTTGATCGGATATTCTTACAATAGATAAGTGAAGTGAAATATATTTGGGACAATTACCCCATAACAAAAAAGGTTTGAGACTTGAAACAAAATAAATTCTAAATTTTTAATTTTGTCAATTTAAACAACAATCTTTTGATTTGCTTTCAATCTAAATCATTTACCTATTTTTATTAAGTAAAATTGATAGGAAAAAAAGTATTTTAATTATTAAACTGAATTTAAATAAACATAAAATGTCTAAAATATAATTTTTATTGAGTTTAATGACTAAAATATAATTTTTTTTCCGTTGATTTTAGTTAACAAAAATAGGCAAATAGTTTAGATTAAAAATCAAATCAAAAGTTTAGAGTTTAAATTGACAAAATAAAAAACTCAAGGTCTAATTTGTTAAAATAGTCAAACCCTAGGATTTCTTTTGTAATTTTCCCAATGTATTTTGTGTATTTTTGGATTACCGTCTTTCCTTACGTGTTCACTTTGACGCCCTTTTTACAGCTGGTGTCTTCTTGTTGTAAACAATTGATCACGTTTTGATCAGACGATCAATCTTTTTGTCAGGAATCACTTTAGTAGTAGCCAACTTACGATTGCTGTAAATTATTGGATCTTTGCTTATCAGACAGTTGGCCTTCTATCAAATGAAGTGGTCAAATTGTATTAAAAGGTGATCGTCGGATCCTTGTTGATCAGATGGCCTTTCGTCTATTAGTGCTTCTTTTGGTGGTGGCCAACTTGATGTAGCCCTTGCCGTTGGATTCATGCTGATCCAACGGCTGCTTTTATGTCAGTTGATGAGTTCTGAACCGTATCATGCTCTTCTTAGATATATGCTATAGATCTGGTTGACCTCTCATTTTGCTTGGACTTTTATCAGGTTTACTTGGGCGTTTATTCCGATTGGGCTAGGCATGAATTTGTTTCCGTCCACAGGACATAATGATGAGTGGGCATAATATCGTATGATAAAGTCAATGCCACGTGATTCAAAATAATCTCAATTTTTATATTATTTTTCACAACTTTGTTTATATACCCTTATGCTGTGTTTGGTTGGAGTTTTTGAGATGGGATTTAGAAAAGGAATGAGAAATGTTATCCTATTTATGTTTGGTTATAATAAAAAATATATGGGAAAAGAAAGGGGGTGAGAAATAAATAAAGAAATAGGATACCTTTTAGGACATCAATTCTATTTTATAACCAACACAACCAAACATAGTTGGGATTTAGAATTCTATTAATTCTTTCTCCTTTTCCTTTCATTTCCATTTCCCTTTCCATTTCCCTTCCCAAATCCCCCAACCAAACACAGCGTTACTAAATTATAATGTTACAACTAATTACACACACTGATACCAAATGACCAATTTTTCTATTAACTAAACACATGGATGGATGTGAGCTGAGCTCCGTTTCCATGTGAGACCATACTTACACGTATAGTCGTAGAAAATTAGGTATTTCAAAAGATCTTTATGATTTTTACAGCCAAATAAGTTTCCATGCATCTAGCTTTTGTTTATATGGCATCAATTTCATCAACAGAATTAGACCTACGCCGCATGCAAGAATTCGTAGCACACCTCAAGAAACAAAGCTCTTGGGTTTGGTCTTCGTTCTCATTCTCTTCCAATGATCTCCCCATGGTCTCGCGCGTAAACAAGTAAGTTGTGATCATTCCCACGATGCAGACTCCACCCAAAACCACCAATCCAGCTGCCATCCGAACCGCATAATTAGAATGCTTGTTATCATGGTGGTCTTCAGAAGCCCAAAAAAATCCAACAGACCCAACAATCGCCCCAACCTTTCCAAAAGCCCCCGCAATTCCATGGCATGTCGATCGAAATCTTGCTGGAAAAAGCTCTGCAGGAACTATAAAAGTGGTGGTGTTTGGTCCAAAATTTGAGAAGAAAAATGTGAGGCCATATAGAAACAAAAAACCTCTATTTGTGTGGTTATACCAGTATGCAATGTAGGGTATCCCCATGGCAAGCAAGGCAAGAGCCATGAAGAAAAAGCCCATGATCTGGATTTTGACTCTGCCAATGCGATCGATGAAAAAGACAGTGGCCCAATATCCTGGAATTGTTGAGCAAACTGCAAGCAGTGCTTGGAATCTTGCAACTTCATAGGCATCTTGATACGCATTCAAGTTCTTCCTTTCGGGGAGAAACTGGTGATTTAACTGAGATTGGACAAGGTTAGTGCTATAAAAGACAACGTCAACCAGAAACCATGAAGCGGCACATGAGAAGAGATCGCGGCCATGGCGGCGGAAGAATGCTTTGGAAAGGAATGGGTAATCAGATGGAGGAGGATGAGATGGGAATTCAACATCCTCTACAATCTGACTTAGGGAAACTTCCAACACTTTCTCCATGTCCTTGGCTGCTTGTGGGACATTCTGCTCCACCAAGGCTGTGTATCTGTGAGGAGTAAATAGACCAGATTAGAATGATATTGAATACGCTTGTAAAGGGTTGTGTTTATAAGAATAATCAATAAGAGAAAGTATATACAGTTCTTTTATATGCCTAAAATTCAAAAGGGGCACAATGTTGGCATTTTATAGATCCCGCCTCGATTTTATCTAATTTTGTGATCGGATTACAAGAATTTGAAACTTTTTGTATACATGTGTATGCAATGAAAGAAAACGTTGATAAAAGTAATAAAGAGGCATTGGATCTTATTTAAAACAAATTTACATCTCTCCAATATACAATAATATACAATCTAAATTGGAGGGTGTTGTTTAGGTACGTAGAATCCATTATTGGTCTCGTTTTAATGAATTAAAATGTTGATTTTGTTGAGTTTTCGGTTATATCATCCATAAAAAAAAAAACAAAACAAAACAAACCAAAAAAACAAAAACCAAAATTAAGTCAATATAATAATTGTAATCTCTTAATTTATCGTATCTACCCAAAAAAAAAAAAAAAAAGGTTTTTTATTTTGGAGACAAGCACAATAAATAAAGAAGTTATTATTATCAAATCAATCTAATTTTTTTTTATAAATAATATATACAAAAGCTCTTACAAAATGAACCATAAGATCATCAAAATGAAATTTGTGATGAACTCCACTGACTAAAATAACACCCTTCAATCTAGATTGTGCATTAAAAAGATACCCAACCCTATTTAAAAATACGAAACTTATCATAAAATACTAAATATATAAACATGTTATTGTCCCATAATTTTATTTTTTATTTTTGAAAAAAAGCTATTACATAAAAATTCTGTTTTATTATATTTATGTGATAATATTTCCTATTTAGCAGTCATCTGTGTATTCATCGCATGATGTTTTAATGTATACCAAGAGTTACATAATGACATTATTGATACAATCGGTTTACGCGCAAACTAATTGTCATTGTCATCAATATCAATATCAATATCAATATCGATATCATTAACATAAAAAATAACATAATAAAAAATTATAGTCATTATCTAAGAACTTGTTCAGAAATATTCTAATATTGAAAGGAACATAAAAATTTGTCACCAAGTATTTGATCAAACAGAATCGTCCAATTCTTATAAATCCTATCACTAAAATACCCTTGAGTATGGTATAAGATCTTTCTCTCTAAAATCTCTAAAATACAAATACCGAAATGATGGATTCTACTTTCTATATCAATAACTACCAAATTCAAGCACCACACCAATCTCTTTAAAAAAAAATAATAATAAATAAATAAAAAATAAAAACAAAAAGAATTATGCACCACATAAATTTATTTCAAGAACATTGAATAATTTCCCCTTTAAAATCCACATGTTTTATAAGAGTTGGTCTTCTATAATATTCACATCTCAATATGAGAGGATTTGGAGAGCCCATGGAGCTTAACATAGGTCTCGTTTTAATGATTCAAACCATTTATTTTGTAAGACTATCAATGTATATCATTTATTAAAAAAAAAATAATTTGATCTAATAATTGTAATTTTCCATTTTATTGCATTTGTCTCAAAAAAATAGACTACAAATATATTTTAACAAATAGAAAAATGCAACAAAATAAAAAGGTTACTGCTATCAAATCGCTCTAATTTTTTCATGGATAATATATACTGAGACCGTACAAAATGAACGTTTCGAATCATAGAATCAAGACCAATGGTAGACCCCACGGGCCTATCAAATTTTCTTGTATTTAAATGTGAACATGGGAGAAGTTAAATCTTTTAACTAATTCAATAGTTAAGAAAACATTAATTAAAGAAGACAATAATTTAAAAAGAAAAAAATCATTTGACAGAGGATTACATAATACAAAACAAATTATTATTGGATGACATATCAATTAATAAAAAATAATTAATTTTTTTTTAAAAAAATTTATATTACATTTTTCCTTTGGCTTATACGAAGTAATCAGAATTACATAGGCACTCAACATTACATAGTTTAAGAAGAATACTTAACCTTAACGCGCAAGAACTGATGTGTGCAAGAAAATTTGAGTGGAAAAGAAGAATGCTCAACGTAATTATATTTTCGTCATCCTATTTCTTACAATTTTTTTTACTAATAAATAAAGAAACAAAATACAAGTAAAAAAAAAAAAAAAAAAAAAAAGTCTACAACCTCAAGCCTCCCAAGCTACGTCCTTGGAGGTGGCATAACACCTATACCTGAAAATGATGTCCCATATGGGGTGAGCCAACGCCCAATAGAGATATGCTAAACATAATATGAGCAATAACTAAAACATTAGCACTTGATAAATGTTTAACTTAACAAAACTCAACTTATAAACATATTTTAGCCTACGATGCCTGTCGTACTACTTATTCGTAACAGACCCTTTGTTTGGATTGGGTGATTTGCAAATGTTCCGGTCACTAATAAAACAAAAACAAAAACAAAAACAAAAACAAAAATAAAAACATGAGAACAATTGAGATTGACGTTGTAAAAGTAACCCAATTTTTGTTTTCAAGTGTTGAAAGAAGTGATTTGAAAGAAGCCTTAAGCCCCTTGTTTGGGTTGTTAGTTAAAAATGTCAATTTTATTTTTAAGGGAAATACTAACAAAGAAGGGGAACCCATAAAGAAGTGAAGTACCTGGCAGTTTCGGGCATCATCATACGCCAGTAAAAAGTCATACCGGCCGGAATGGCACCGATCATGAGGATGAGCCGCCACACCAAGTCCGCCTCCTTGGGCGTCGGCTTATCATGAGGCGGGTGCGACGCCGCGTCAAATATGGCACAAATCGTCATGGTCACCGTGGAACTCACCAAAATCCCCAATCCCTGCATCGAGAAAACGGCGGCTATGAAACCCCCACGAGTCTTCTTATTAGCAAACTCTGACATAATAGTCGCCGACAGCGGATAATCCCCTCCAATCCCCACACCAAGCAAGAACCTGAAAAAACCCAGACTCACCAATACACAGGCCGGGGAAGTGCAGATAGAGAATCCGCACCCAATAGAGCTGAGCACCATGCACATGAGTGCGAGGCCGTAGACACGGCGTCGGCCCATACGATCGCCGAGGTATCCGAAGACTAGCTGACCGATGACGGTCCCTAAGAGAGCGATGGCGACCATGGCGGAGGTGATGGCGATGGGGACCTGGTAACTCTTGTTGGGATCCCCGTCGTCGGAGTCCGGGTAATAGAGGCGGCCAATGAGTCTCATGATTGGAGGGATACAGAAGAGATCGTAGGCGTCGGTGAACAATCCCATTCCTGCAATTATGATTGCTTTGAAGTGGTAGTACTGGGTTTTCGCTGTGTCGAGAGCATCAAGGACTTTTAATGCCATTACTACTACACAAACACCGCTGATGTGTGTGTGTGAGACTGAGAGAGAGAATTGGCTTTTGTGGGTTGTTGGCAGCTGCTTGAGAGTAGTTGTGTTGCAGGAGTAGTGTTATACGTATGAAGTCGTATACATATATATATATATATATATATAAGCAGGAAATTGTATGGGTCACGAGATGAGATGAGGGGTGAGAGCCAAAGAATTGGAAAGAAAGTAGGAGGGGAGCTTCGTAGAGGAGGAGGAGGCGGAGGAGACAAACGAAGACTTTTGACTATATATGGGGTGAAGTCTATGATTCCAGAGAAGATGCGAATCATTTATCTTCTGTCATTTTGGATTAACGTTATTGTAACTGATAACGACTTCATGTGTTTGTAAATTTTGATTCGAGGTTTTCGAGTCCCGCTGGTGGACTTTTACATAGGCTGTTGTTACCTAATTTCTTTAGACTCCATTTCTTTGAACTTTCATTTTAAATCTTAAATTTTAATAAGATTTTTTTAAACATTTCATCTTTCATTCTAAGGGGTTGTTTGGAGTGTCCTAAATAAATACATTTTTTATTTTTTTAGACTAAAAGGTTGAGGAAAAAAATATGGATGTTTGGATTAACTTTTTGACTTTTTACGAAAAAATATGTATTAAAAAATTATATAAATAAGTGTGTAGAAGAAGGTAGTGAAGTAACCCGTACAGTTTGGACGAATCCGGATCCTCGGTAGCCTTTGTTTGTAGCCCTTTCTTATAGCGTCCCAAAACGACGTCGTTTTGGGACAACTTTTCAAGGGGGGAAAAAAAAAGGAAAGAAAGAAAGAAGAACAGAACTCAGAAAGGGGGAAGAACCCATTAATGGCGTTGAAAAATGGGGTTGTGTTCAAAGAGGAGCAACAATCATCGACCCAAACCAAGAAAGATACCCACTATCCAACACTTAGAAGCAGAGACACACCAAAAGATAACCATCTGTTCTTCTTCTCTAAAAAATAAAAATAACACATCAAAGATTCAATCAAATTTCTCAAAAGAAATTTGAGAAACATTGGTGACAATGGAGGGTGGTGATAATATACTGAGAGTGAGTAGTGCTCGTTTGAGTAGTTCCAACATATGGAGGAACAGCGGGGGAGAAGTTTTTTCAAAATCTTTTTGCAATAAAGACGACAAAAAAGCTTTGAAATGGGCTGCTCTGGAAAAATTACCCACTTATCAAAGGATTCAAAGAGGTATTTTGATTGAAGAACAAGGCCATGCAAGAGAGATTGACATCAAAAAGCTTGGAGTGATTGAGAGAGAGAATCTGCTCGAGAGGCTTGTGAAAATCGCAGAGGATGATAATGAGAAGTTCTTGTTGAAGCTCAAGAAACACATTCACAGGTAATCTCAAAGTTTTTTTTTTTTTTTGTGTGTGTCGCTGTTTTTTCTGATTTTTACAGAGTTAGGATTGATCTTCCCACCATTGAAGTCCGATAGAGGCAAACCAGGAAGAAGAAGAAGAAGAATAAGAAAGAAGAAGAGGAAAAAGAAAAGAAAGAGTTACCGGCCTCATGTCCTTTTTCATCCGCTTCATCCCTTCATCCGTGCTCCTCTCCTTTCTGAGTTTACCCACCGTTGCTTTCTTTCTTCTTCCCCCTTCCCTTTCTGAGTTCTGCTCCCTTTTTTTTTCTTTTTTCTTTTTTTTTTTCTTGAAAAGTTGCCTCAAAACGACGTCATTTTGGGGTGCTACAGGAAACGACTGTAGACAAGGGCAACCGAGGATCCGGATTCCACTTTGGGTAGTGTAGTAAGCTGGTTAGAAGATGAAAAATGATTTCCTCTTTTTCGGGTTTGAATTGGACGGTGTTCGGCCCGTAGGGGCCCACTGCGGGTCCCGTTTTGCTAATCGGAACCGTTCAATGTGTAGAATTTATCGAGTACTATACGCTTGTAAAAAATCACATTGATTGGATATCGATAACTCTCTGATCGTGTTAGTTTTTTTTGTCAACTGTTAACTATAACACCATCCATTTTTTATACAAAATTGTTTTGATCATGTAGTTAGCAATATCTGATTAACGTGATTTTTACAAGCATATAGTATTGGACGAGTTTTACATATTGAACGGTTTGGATTATCAAAAACGGGACCCGTGGTGGGCCTCCACAGGCCCAACATTACACTCCAACTTAGTGAATATATACATGTAATTTTTTTTGTTCATTTCATTGTACTCTGCTTTCACGTCAGTACCCAGAGTGGTGTAAAGTTGATTTGTATTAAAATATTATGTATATTAATTTTTTTATATTTTTAATTTGTGAATAATGATGACTTTTTGGCTTTTTTTTTGTAATTTTTTGACTTTTTGGAATTTTTTAAACACTCCAAACCAGGCCTAAATGTTAAATTTTAATAAGATTTCTGTGAACACTTTTCTTAATACCAATTTTATTCGTATTCATAATATCATCACACCTACGTACACACCCACTTAATTCTACACATCATCTCTTCTTCTTCTTCTCTTAGAAAACAATGAACGATTGAGAGGCAATTGAGAATTCTTCTCTCATTAACTATGGTCTCTTTCTCCATGTTACCGTGAATGATGGTATCTCAGTCAGAAATCTAGTCAAAAATCTCTTCAACGGTTTCTTTCTTCTTTTCTCAGGTAATCTCCAACTTCCTATCACATATTATTATTTTTAATTTCAAGATAAAACCCTCGATATAGGGGGTTTTAGAAGGCAAAACCCTAAAAAAAAAAAAAAAAAACCAGAAATAGAGAAAAAAAATCCTACAAAATAGAACCGTTCGACATTCTAGTGACAAAAAAAATATTTATGTTCAGCACTATATTACAGAACTAAATATTTTTGTTCAATACTGTATTACTGAACAGAACCTCAATAGTAAACAAACCAGTACCGAACCAAACACAATCTAGAATCGTAAATGCAAGACAGATAAACTTACTAATGCAACATTGACCTCATCAGAATTATTGTCATCGTACTCCATTGCTCCACAAGTATCAACGAATGGTGAAAACGACCAAATATGTAGAAACTTGAAGTTTGAAATAAAATTGTTTGCAACTTAATTGATTTCCAATACTAAACACATTTAAAACCATTGAACAAAACGTTAACTAATTAGGTAATTTTAAATATTGTTTATTAAAGATGAATATGTGAGTTTAGAATGGTGATGAAAAAGAATATGGTTAGGGTTTAGGTTGATAAGGAATACGTATAGATGAGGATGGAGGTGAGTATATAATATTGTAGAGTGTCATTCTACAATATTATAATTTGGTAGGTGGCTGTTCCATTAAAAGTTATCTTTTATGTAATTTTACTTCAGGGTATAATTGTAATAAAATACAAAGTGAGAATTTGGAGGTCCAAAGAAATTAAATAAGCACAATAGTAGCACTTGGAAATTATTTGATAATTTCTATAATATTCATATAAAAATTGATAATTTTAGTTAATTTTTTAATTTTTTATAAAAAGATTTATAAAAAAAATAAAGAAACCTTATAGTGACTTTTTTTTGGGGGGGGGGGCTAAAATCTTACTTTCCCAAAATGAACAAAAAAAGAAAAAAAAGCAAATCGTAAATTAGGAGTGAACAAATATTCAGTTCAATTAGATTTGGACTAGACTTATATTATATAGTATGAGTATATGTGTTATCTCAAACTCAGTCCCGTCTAACATTAGGGTTAATTTTGTCACCCAAGTCCAACCCTAAATAAACTTTTAAATCTCTAATCCACTCACTTGACACAATAGATATGAGTTACTAAATATATATACATGTATATAATCTTGAATAGTTATTAAATTTTTTAGACATTTTTTTAATAATCATTTTAGTTTGAAACTTTAACAAAATTGAATTGAAAATAAACATAGTCATTTATCCAATGTTTTAGTAATTTAAGTCATAGAAAGAAGTGTATAAATATATTGAAAATAAATAATAAAGAAATAAAATTAAAATTTTAGAAATGAATGAGGCGGTACAGGTTAGATTAAAACTCTTTTTTCTTTTTTGATTGGCAAAGAAAACTTTATTGATTACGGCAATGTAAAACAAAGATACAATCAATAAAGAAGAAGGGAGCAAAAGCATCATATCTCTCAATCGAATCCAACTAGGTTGACACCAAAGAGAGAGCTTCAATTATATGCATGAACACCACCAAGTTGGTAAGGAACCAACCAACCGAGAGAGAACAAGAAAGAAAAAGAGCAAACTCAATAGCAACCCCTGATTTGCTTCCAATTGAGAACATCATCAACTGAGAAGGGGAAGTCCTTGAGAGATGCTTTGAGCCAAAATGCTAATTTGATCTTGATGAGTTCACACAGGTCAATGGAATTAGTGAATACACACTCGTTCCTATGCTTCCAAAGAGACTAGAGAATTACTAGGGGAATAGCTCTCCAAAATTTTCTGAGTAGACTCTTGAAGAGCTCTCCAAGATTAAAACTCTTTATTTTAAACTCAGTTTAAAAATTAAATACACTTAAAATCTCAATTTAACATGAATATTGAATTAAATATTTTTTAAAAAAAATTTAAAAATATATGGACTGAATTAAAAAGGCTATGGCCACATCTAATGTAAAGTACCATAACAACAGAGTCCAGATCCTCTCCAGCCCTCCCTCCGGTCAACAGCTAGGATTTGGCCACGTTACCCCGAACAAAAGCTATGGCTTAGATTAGCTAACCAAAAAATAATAATAAGCAGTGTGTTTGGTTTGAGTTTTTTGAATTAAGTTTTTTGAAAACTCAGTTTTTTTATTTTCGTATTTTTTTGTTTTTAGTGAATATTTTTAAAATTTTAAACTTTTTTTTACTTTTTTAGATGCACCTTACTTAGATGTATCTAAAAACTAAAAAATTTGTGAAAAAATATTTTTAAAATTTAATAAATACATAAAAATACAAAAAATGTACTGAATTCTCGTATTTTTTTTTTTGTATTTTTGGTATTTAGTGAATTTTTAAAAGGTTTTTTTCACAATTTTTTTTTTTTTTACTTTTTAGGTATATTTATGTTAGGTATGTCTAAAAAGTAAAAAAAAAATTTTCTTAAAATATTAAAAAAATTCAGTAAAAATAAAAAAACACGAAAAACAAGAAAGTAAAATTTTCTGAAAAATGTTATTGAAAAAACACAACCAAGCAAGCTGAATAATAATAAAATAAAATAAAATAAATTGAATTGAATTCAGCATAGCAAAACAGAGGGTCTCTTTCTCTCT